ACGTCACTGTTCGCCTTGATCTTGATGACATTGTCGTCACAGTTCACAAAGATATCGCATGTTTCTACTCAGGGTATTTTCGCAAAGCATTTGGGGGTCCCCTCCTCGAAACAGAGGTGTGGTCAATAAGTTTGCCTGATACCGGGGCAGACATATTCCGCCTGTACCAGGATTGGCTATACGCGCAAGCCACACGGCATGAGAACTCTACCCCGATCGACACTACGGAGACGGAGAATGCGAGGTATAGGAAGCCTAACAGCAACCCTGACTGGCTGGTTCCAAGAAGTACATTACTGCGCGCTACTTACTGCTGCCCTTTACATGCTAACAGCATCACAGATTACCGCCAGGAAACAGCAATTTCAGCTTTCTACGGCGACGTATTCCTCCGCTTGTATGTTTTTGCAGAAGTTTACGACGTGCCGCTGTTGAGGCAGGACATTATGACCTTGATGGTTGACCTTGAAAGACCCACGGGTATTCTGTGTCAGAAGATCGACAGAGACGCCTTGGACAAATCTCTGCTCTCGAATTCGCCGTTCCGAATCTTCTTGCTAAAGTGGATGGCCTTCGTCTTCGTCGGTTATCCGTTGAACACCACGACTGCAGCAGACATCAGAAAATGCTTCTCTCATGATTGGCTTGCCGAAGTGATGTGGATTATAGCCTCCCAACCAAAAGATCCACATCTACGTGAGCGTTTGTATGACGATGTAAAGGATAGTTGCGCATTTCACGAGCACCAGAACGATTGGGAGAAGATTCTGTGTCGACGACATCAAGCCTTTGACACCCAGTTCTACACCAACTTTCTGCGCAATATATTCAATCTCGTATCCGATCTCGATAAAGAATACGGAAGTCCGGAAATAAAGAAAAAGAGAGAAAAGGCGAAAGCCGAGGAACAGATCAGGGTGAAGCTAGAAGAAGACATACAGTCCTCGGGATTTGAAAGCGCCGAGGAAACTTTGGATGTAGAAGGGTGAACCGTAGATGTTCCTCTGACCAAGCACGGACTCAAGCTTCGTTGGTAGCCTACCGTCGGCCCACGCAATCCGCTCTACCACTCTGCAACACCCCTTCGCGGGAATCTTCCACGTACTATCTGTTGGGAAATCGTAGCCTATATCGATACCCATCACTTCAAGATACATGGCGACTTTCGCCCCTCCAGCCCGCCGTGGCGACTTCCTCTACTCATCTGTCCTCTACGCAGACCCTGGTAACGGAAACCACCACGGGCGCGCGAGTGTCGCCGAACTCGCGGCTCTCCTCCGCCCGGAAGCCCCCAATCTCTACAGCAAGGGTCGAAAGCCTGAAGTCGCGACACCAGCGAAAGACCAGGTGTGGCATTTCTACTCCGCCCAACTCATTCACTATGGACTACCGGTCACCAAGGACAAGAATGCGGCGAAAGTGCGACTCCTGAATGCTATGAACCAGTTCAAACTTGAGGTACCAGCATGGGTTTTGAAGGTCGAGAGCGAACTGAAGGCTGAATGGGAGGCGGAGAACCGGAAGTTGAAGAAGAATGGTAGTGCAGTGACCAAGAAGGCTTCCAAACCGAGTGTCGCTCGCGAGTCAGGTCTTGGAAGCTCTCAGGGTGTAAATAGCGCTGTCAACGTCACTGGTAGGCTTAGAGACCCCTGATATCTGACGCTGCTAATCCTATCTCGTAGTCAATTTGGCCTTAGGAGGAGCGTCGCTTAGCCAGTATATGGACGCGCAGCAGGCAAGCAACAACACCCCAAGGAAGCCAGCGCCGACCAAACGCAAGCGCGCTGGTAGTACCGTCTCTAGCCCGGTAGCGACACCGCAGAAAGTTGCGAGAGTCAAGAAAGAGCCAGCGCCAAAGAAAGCACCCATCAAGAAGGAGCCTACCGCCAGGCGATCTGTTCCCAAGATCAAGCAAGAGAGCCGCACCTCCGCGCCACCATCAACCCCCTCAAGGTCCCGCATCAAGCAAGAGCAGTACCATCCTAGCCCCGACCGAATGTACCCATCACCCTACCTCAAGTCCGACCCATACCCGAACTACTACCAACCCTCGCCACCCCTCCTCCTCAGCGGTACCTACTCCATCTCCTGCGAAACCGCCAGCTCCATCTTCAACGACTACAACTTCGACCTCACACTCGCCCGCGACCCCTCCCGCGGTATCTGGTGGGCGACTTTCCGCTGGGGCGCCTGGGACGGAATCATCCAGATGAACCCCGGCCCCGGCGACTCCGACAGTCTAGGTCAACCCTGTTCGCTTGGCTGGCGTCTTCGCGATCTGGAAACTGGACAGTTGACGTTTGGTCGCAAGTGCACGGGTTATATGACGTTCGCTGGTGATGGGTCGATAGAGGGTTGTTTGTATGAGGTGCCGGGCGTTGGATCGTTGGCGTTTGAGGGTATGAGGGTTTCGGGTGACAGCTTGGAGGATGATCTTAAGGGGGAGTGGGATGGGTTTGTTGCGGAGGCTTATCGGCGTTGAGGTCCACGTGGTCCTGGATGAGGAGTCTGTATAGCCGTACCGGTACCGCTCAGTATGAATGTCTTTATAAGAAACTCGGCCATTGCTATCTAGCTATGGCTCTATTCTCCTATGCACGGGTACACAAGACCTCCCTTGATGTTAGTCAGTGATAGAGAACATCACAACCCATCACCTTTACTTCATGTGCCCTTACTATGCTGTACCAACTATTAGAGCATCTTGTTGACGCTAAGCATTGCAGTATACGCGAGGCTACTATAAAGCCGTCATGACACCAAAGATGTCAGGCTGAACACAGTTCATCACAATGCCTTGAACACGCTAGTAATTGCAGTGCAGATCAACCACAGCAGACCACGACAACACGTGGTAGGCTCAACGCACTCGACGTGGCAGCCTAGCAGGACCAAGCAATCTGGCGCATGTCAGCGCTGTAGCGTGGGATCTCTATTGGTTACTGCCTTAGCATACCAATCGGAGACAGCATGTTTGCTCGCCCACCTTGGGGGTTGCCGTGCAGCTCGCTGCCAAGTTAAAGATGATTGGTAGATACGCCCGTGGATTTGCTGTTGCCCCACGCACGCGTAGAACGCTTTACTTCACCAGCATCAAGCCCATCGGAGCAGTCAAGTTCATTCAGAACATCTCGCAATTAGCTTAACAGCTACGTATAATACACTACAAGTTTCTACAAGAAAGGTCCAAAAGCCATCTCTTTCTGCTCTTCCAAACCATTCGCTCTGGTATAACAAAAACTAAACAGGCAGGACAAGCACCACCCAACGCCAAAGGCAAGACTACCGCGCGGCATGACTGTCATCCTTTCTCTCAAACATGAACAAGTAAGGCGTCAAGAAACATGACGCCGGGAACGCTGAAGCTATCTACTGAGACACAAAAGAAATCATATGCGTAGAGCATGTAATATCCGAAACGTCAATCGAGCTGACCCCCTAGCGTTGCCATGGACCACGGTCCTGCGGATGCCTTACACCGCTCGTCCAGTCCATAGGTCCTGTAGGTGGCCGAGGGTCGTGGATTGATCCTGGCCCTGAACTGGGTTGTGGTGGCGGTGGACCCCTCATATCTTGTCTTCCTCGCATGATGCTGTCCCTGTAGTGCGCATCTCGTGCATCTCGTTCGCGCATCTCACGTTCTCTTGAGTTTTGTTCAGCTTCTCTTCGCATATGCTCTTCTCGATTCATCGCTGCCTGGTGTTGAGCTTGAGCTTGGGCTTGCTCCTCGCGGATACGGTCCGTCATGCTGCGATCACGAGGATTGCGCATGAAGTGATGTTGTGGTTCCTCGGGAGGGCGCTGACCATAAAGAGAGTGGTTTGCTACTCCGAGAGACGAGTGCGGAGGATGCTGCAAAGGTGGAGGCTGGCCGTGCTCCGGCCTAGAAAGCGGAGTCTGTGAGCGTTGCGAGAGATATCCCCGATCTTGGGGTTGGTATCGCAGATCTTCATGCATTGGAGGACCTGGCGCACGTAGCGCGGGGTTGGAAAGCTGTTCACGTAGATAATCGGCCCTTTGAGACAACTCACGGCCGGTGTCGCGATCCGAGTGACGAGGATCAAAATCGTGGGCCTCACGAGGATCGCGAGGACGGTAAGGCTCCGTCAGTCTACTCAACCCTTGAAAAGGGTGGGCTGGATGCTCGTTGGGCGTTTGTGGGTTCGAGTACGATAGGTTTGCGTTTGAGGCCTGCGAATGGTCGTTGCGTCCGGATGAGTCCCTCTGCTGCTGTGCTATGTGGCTTGTCGACAGGTGCGGACTGGGCCGCATCCCCATAGGTCCAGGTGGCGGGACACCACTGCCCGGCGGATCAACTTGGGCGTATGGGTTCGGCTGCAGGATCTGTGATGATGCACTCAGTGCTTGCGCATGCTGTGCTGCAGTGGTGCTCGGAACACCATGTCGAGGCAACGACCCAGGTGGCCCACTCACGCTCGACGTGCGCGAATGCGGATTTGGAGAGTTGTTGAAGCCGGCAAGAGGTGGCGGTGTCGGGTTTTGACGTGGAGTGTTATGCTGGGAGAAGACAGAACGGTGATTGCTGAACATTCTATCGTTGACATTGGGCGGCTGAGGCAGGCCGGTCGGTGTTGAAGAAAGCGACGTGATCTGTGGAGTCTGAGACAACCCTCGGTGGAACGGCTGCTGGGCTTGCCAAGTATCGCGCAGACTTGGCCTACTTACTGACGGCTTGTCCTCAGTCAGGTCGATCGGCCTGTTTGATGTTGCGTTTGCAAGTGAAGACTGCTGAGCATACGATGCTGGACGGGTATACGGAGATTGAGCAGCCATAGAATCTTCGTAGAGCGGGCGTCTTGACGATGACGTGTAGCTTTGCGTCGTGGGAGGAGGAGGCGCGATTGGTGCTGATTGCAGAGGTGTAGAGGTATGCGATGGCGGACCTTGTTCGCTTGGCTTCTTACGTCTGGGCTCCTCAGGATCGGTGTCATTCAGTAAGGACATCAAGTTAGACTTGCGTGGTTCGACAGCCGGCTTTGTTACTGCAGGCGGAGGTGTGTTTTGCATAGGTGGTGGGCCGCGCTGAGGATGCTGTAATTGAGTGTGAAGCATCGCTTGGGGTTGAGCTGGGGGAAGGCTAACTGGAGGAGGATTTCTAGGTTCTTCTTTGACAGGCGGTGTAAGAATGGTCGACCGTGGCGGCAGCTGTTGCGCACTGTGGCTAGTACTATGACTCGGAGAATACACATCGGCCACCGTTTGGCTGAGCGATTGCGCTTGCGATGAGTGTCGAGAGTGCGAGAACGGCAACGGACGGTGTTCTGGTGATCTCAGCCCAGAGTTCGAACGTACTGGCGGCATGATCGGCGGTGCACCACCGGGAGCAAAAGGTCTATGCTGTGACATCTCCTGTGAGATGCGACGTGTGTGTTCATGAAACCGGCGCTGAGCCTCCTGCTCCTGCTGAACTTCAGGTCTACCCGCAACGTCTCGCTCCTGAAAGTGAAGTCCACGATAGAGAGGCGAGTGGTGTTGCTCTTGAACGCGAGGCTGTGGAGGCGCATGTTGTTGCAATGGCCGGTGTGCCTGTTGGTTGCCGGCAGGTTGTGAAGGTGGCCGGGACTCGAAACGTGGAGCTAGGTCTTCGGAAAAGTATCCAGCTCGTGGCCCTTGCGGCTGCGACTTATGCTGCGACATGGAGTGTTGGTGATGATGCTGCGGCGGTGCACGCTGAGGGGGAGCGGGCGGCGACTGCTGTGGTGGTATCGAGGGTACAGACGCCAGGCTAGTCTCTGGTAGGGCAGAATATCCGGGCGGAGGCACCATGGGCTTGCTCTGCACAGGTGCTTGGGCGATAGTGGAGAATCTCGAAGAAGGAGTTGAATGCGGAGGAGATAATTTTGGGTGCACAAGCGGGTTCGGAGGCGGAGACCCATGTTCAGGCGTAGGTGCGATGGGGCGGATAGGTCCCGCTTGTGTGCTCTCGTATCGTCTCTTGGGTGCTGGAGTCGGTGTTGGCGGTGGACCTAGATCATCACCTCGTTCCCTTCGAGCATCTGCCTCTTTTGCTGTCTGCTCCAAGTCTAGTTTGCCACTTTCGACAAGACGCAGATACTGGTTCTTGATCATAGTGTGCGTCTTGGTGCCCATATGGTTTGCAATTGCAATCCAGTCCGTGCCAAAGTGTGCAACATTCTTATCGAAGTCTTGTAACTCGGAGACGGACCAGTAGCTAGATGGGCCAGGTCTGGCACCAGCCTGTGTCTTCGGTCGATCCATAAGACTGCCAGGCAGGCCAGAAAGCTGCTGCAAATCTCCTGCCAGCATCATCTGATCCTCCATAGGGATAAGTGGCATGGGTATTGGCATATCATTCATGGGCCGCTTGCCAAGGTCGTCCTCCATCTTGACTCCCATGTTCTTGTCTTTACGATCGACCTTGACAGGTGAGCCTATAGGAACGGCCGCGAGTGGCGTATTCTTCGCCTTCCGGCCAACCTTGTCCTTCGCCGGTTTTCCACGCCGCATGGCCTTTTCTTGCGTGTCGTCGGCGTCAGTTTGCCTGCGTGCTCGGCCTGGTATGGGCATTCCTGTGATCGGGTCGAACTCAGTTTCGGTTGGGCCAAATTTGGGAGCCGCATGGCGTCGAGGCCGCCCAGTCTCAGTGACTGGTAAGGGCAAACCGTCCTCTCCTGGTCCTTCGGGTCGGTCCATGTTGGCGATAGCTCCACGACCACGACCAACGGCTCCACCACGCTTCCTGGGAGCCCGAGCTTTGCGGAGTTTACCCTTGTATTCTCTGCCCCATTTGGTAGCATAGTAATGATTGATACAATCCTTGTAGGTACGTTCGGTTCCAACTTCTTTGTAAAGAACTTCGGCCAGCTTACCCCACTTCTTTGCGTATTGATCCTTGTAGTTATGTACCATGACCCTGTGTTCCTCGGGGGTGAAGTCATCCTCTGGCGGCTCATAGTGAAACACGAAAATCCCTTGACCGGGTTCGCGTTGGAAGTTAGTGTCGATGAATCTTCTGCGCTGAGCCTCTGCCTCGGTAAGTTCCAATGGTAGATCGGCCTCCTTCTCCGGGTCAGCCATGGCTTTGCGTGGCTCTTTGTCTTTCTTCCCTAACTTTTCCTCTTCGGCAGTCTTCAAAGACTCTTTGATGACAGCTTCCAGATCAAGCTCAGTAGCCCATCGACTCGCGTGGCTCCTCCGGCCTGTAGGAGCGAGCGACCCATCCAGAATCCCTGTCATCGCAGCATTTTGTACATCGGGAGTGACAGCCTTCAGTGTTGGCTCGGCTGACGGCTGTCTATCCTGATCGTCTTGGTCACGCTCTTCGTCCAAGGGACGGATGGACACACGCCACGCTCTATATGCAGCTGCGTATCGTTCGAGAATCTGATCAGTGTTAAGCTCAGGCTCGATGCTCTTGCGTAATTTGCTTCGAATGGCGTTCATGATATCGTCAGATAGGTTTGGTCGGTCTTGCCCAATGTCCGATAGAGGCGTTGGCGGGCCTGAGCCTAGATAGGGCAACGAACTGAGGTCGGGTAAGGTTTCCCGCTCTGCAGAGGTCTCACGTCGTAGGCGAAGCGCCATCGTTGCGGGTGCAGCCGACCTCTCTTCAGTCTCCTCTTTGTCTTCCATCTCGACATCCTCGGACTCTTCCGCCTTAGGTGTCGGTAGATCTGCCGTGATACTCTCTGGAGCAGGTTGATTAGTGGTTGGTTCCACATGACGTGCTTGCACAGGTGAAAGATGTGACTCTTCCTGCTCCTGGGGAAAGGGTGTGCTTGTCTCTTCGACGGACACCACATCTGGCTGTGTTTGAGGAAGATGCTCGACATTGAGGCATGACAGCAGAACAATCTCCTGCAAGGGAGTTGTAGCGCGCAAGTGCGGAGCACTCAGATCGACCCGTTTGGCCTCTAGACGTGCTCGCTCTCGGTTGTATTTCGCCTCAGACTCAGCGAAGTCGTCCTCGTCAAGATCAAGATCGTCGTCAGAGTCTTGCAGAGCTTCCGGGGCAGACGACGCAGCCGACATGGGTGGCTTGGCCATTCGAGGTGACGCTTCTGCCATGACGACATCAGAGTGTCGCCTAGTCTCGATCGGAGTAGGTTTGGGTGAGGGCACCACAGGACGCTCTGCGGATACCGCACGTTCTCTCGGTCTTTCGATTTCGGTTTGAATGCGTGAAAATGACGGTGATACTGATTTAGCTTGTGTATTACGCTGGATCTGTGCAGCAGAGACGCTATGCTCGAGTCGAGGAGCTTTAGGGGCAGTACCGAACGGTCGTTCACGATCCTCAGCCGGGAATTCGCGCTTGGTTGGCACCGACGGTCGGCTCGAATTGAATCCAGGCCGTACCCATTGCATGCTCTTAGGACCGCCGCTCAATGGGCCTCTAGCGGGAGGAAAGCCAGGCCTGTCCGATTGCGGATAGGATGAAAGTGGCCTAGGAGCCATCGGAGTGCGGTCGGCTTTGGGGCCCGTAGGTATATTCGCTGGTAAGCTTTGCGGGGATGTGTTGATCGCAGGGCCTCCTCCGCCACCATTACGCGGACCAAACCCTGAAGGATTCGCACTGGGAGATGCATCTCGAGGTGTGTACTGTGGAAGAGTCGCCCTTGAGAACGATGGGGATACGTTGACTCGTGCCGCTTGAGGAGCTGTAGGTGGTGCACGCGGTCGTGCAGCAGGGCCTTGTGGAGGCGACTTCGCAGCACCTGATGGCGCAGTAGGAGCGGTTAGTGGAGCTGATGGTACCATCGTGGGAGCTTTAGGGGGCGCAGCCATTTGGGGCGAGATCGGGACCTTGGCAGTTACATTGTCTGAGCCTGGTACATCAGTGACCTGAGATGGAACAACAGTAGGAGGAATAGAAGGTGGTTCCATACGTGTTGGAGCCGGGTGAGACACTCTGCTCTCTTGCTTTGGTACCTCTCCAAGCAGCGGACGATCCGGCGCCCGGTCAGCTTTTGGCCCAGTGGGTGGTAGTGTCGAGAGGCCTGGGGGAATGGTTGCCTTTGGTGCAGTTGGGATTACTGCCGCCTTCACAGGAGTAACAGGAGCAGCAGGTGTGGCAGGACCGACAGAGGTGTTAGTAGTAGAAACAGGAGTAGGCTGAGCAGGCTTCGGTGGTGCTACTGTCGCAGCGCTTGGCTTGTTGTCAGAGATGGGCGCCCTCCAAACATTGGACCCACCGAAGGCTGGAATGGAAGCAGGAGGCGATGAAGCACGCGGAGCGTACCTCTCCCTGGACGCTTCAGCGCGGCTGGCCAGGAGAGCCTCGTCTTTCCCTGGCTCCCGCCGAGGATCCTTGGCAGAGAGAGGATCGATGGCAACAGAAGATCGTCTTGAGTAAGTATCTCCCTGAGGCCCTAGCCTGTCGGACGGAGAGGCATGGTGAGATGAGTGCGGGGTTGGCCCCGTAGGCGTACCAGGTAGATGCCTCAGATCAGAAGGGCCCGGACCTCGGTGTGTGTCCAACGCCCGTAGTCCTGATTTCGCAGCACCTGCTGGGCCGATGTAGGAGTCGTACTCTCTGGGGAACCTCCGATCATCACGTTCTCTCCTGTCGAAATCGCGATCTTCCCGAATGTCTCGCTCCTGGCGCCTTGGGGGTGTCCGACTCCGCGGCCGATATGTCCGTTCCGGAATGCGATCACGTGAGTCGTGGTGTCTTTCCCGGTCATCGTTGTGGAAGTTTCGACCGCGCCCAGAAAACCCGCCTCGTCCGCGGCCAATGCCTCCGCCACGATACGATGAAGCTGTACCGGGGAGTGGGGGGTCAGAGTAGGTGGAACCAGCTGAAGGGGGGCCGTCTCGTGAGTTTCGCCGTGCGCGATTGACATCCAAATCTCGCGGTACAAAGTCCCTCTGATCGCGCGGATCTCTTGAGTCCCGGATAGGTGAGCGCCTTGGTGGGGTCGGCCGTCGCTCGCGCCGATCAAAGTCGCGGTCTCGGTCACGATCTGCCCTCCAGGAATTTTGGGAGTTGTGCGGAAACCCAGGACCGCTGCTTAATGGTGGCGCGGTACGTAGTGGTGTAGCTTCACCTCGGCCAGCAAATCCTCGGCCTCTATCATCGCGTGGCGCTGCAGATGCACCTGATGGTGGACCCACTGGCGGGCCACGTGGCGCATCGGAAAGAGATTTTGGACCTTTCGGTACTTCTCTTGAGAAGCCGCCAGGCTCTGCATTTGGTCTAAAGGTTTCGTTACCCCTTGGGGGGTAACCGCTACTAAAGTTGGATGGTCTTCGATCTCGATCCCGGTAGGGCGGCGACCTGTCGCGGGGATATCTGCCGTTCTCCGGATACCGTGAAGCAGACATGTTGGTGGTTGCTTACTGTACAAAGAACTTGCGATTGCGGCATGGGCACAGGTAAAGGTCGTATGTCAAAGCGGATTGGAAATCTCGGTCGTAAGAGCAGGCCCGGATCGCGTGCAGTGGTCGTAGCAAACGGATGGTGCAGAAAAGAAAAAGGGTTCCTTTGATGTACCGTCGTGTGTAATCTCAAGAGTGATCGCGCGATTGGCCGGCGAATTGTTGTGTCCCAGGTTGACGTCAACCACAGGGTGTCAGTCGAGGTTCGTGTTTGCAAGCCGTGGTAGACGAGGCGCTAGCGGCAAGGCCCGTGCTTCGAAACCAGGGAATTAGGGAAAGCGCCAAACCCCGATCCGTGGTGGAACAGGTGCAGCTGCTCGGCGCCGGGAGCTGAGATTCGATCTGCTATTGTCGCCTTTACGCCCAAAACGCCCGTTTCGTGCCGTAAACGCGTCAAACTGGCCCTGGAGGTCAGGCAAAGTCGTCTGGAGATACTGGAGAGTGTGAGAAGCGCGCAGCGGTCAACAAAGGCAGTCTGGCGCCGTGTTGAAGATGCTCTGCAGCCCGTTGACGTGGCGCTGGGTCTCTTTGTGAGAGAGGCCTGGGCACGTGAGGCAGCACCTTGTCGATGCTGGAAACGAAGAATGGAGTGGCTCTTTAGCCAGGCTGTGCGCCGCTGGGCCGTGGCAGCATAGTGTCGTGGAGAGGGTCGTTGTCGCAAGGTAGGTGTGATGATGAGAAAGGGAACGTCGAGGAGACCAGAACACGAACGAAGCACTGACACACCCAGCCATGACGGATGCCTGCAAGTCAAAATGGACGCCCCGGCTGGCCTGCAACGGCCTAGCGAGGGGAATCCATCCAGACATGACAGCCGGCCTCTGATTGGTCTGCAGTTGGACATTTCGATTATCTGCAGGGGTGGGCAGCCGCTGGTTTTGCTTCAGATTCCAGCCCTGGCTCCACTAGGGGATTTGGTGACGATCCCAGCCCGGGCCCCTTCACCAACACGGACAGACACCGCTGCACGGCAGATGCTGGACACGATGCACGCCTGGAGGACTGGCGGGCGTATTGTGCGATGATGCGACACCGTGGCCCTCCCACACGTTGATGACAAAAGGGCTGGCAGTCTCCTTAGCTGGATCGACCCGAGAACTAGCCTCACACGAGCAGGGATTAGACTGCCATGCCTTAGCTCCAATCCACGGGTGCCCAGGTGTGGAGGCTTCTTTTTCCTCAAAATCTGCCGCCGCACCGACTCACAAATAGCACAGTACGAGAGTTGCAACCGTCCAGAGTACGCCGAGCAGCCCGACGACGCGCCAGAACATTGCGACAGCGCCGCTGCAGCGACTGCCCAACCGAGACTGCCCACTGCCATGGCTAGCAACTCTTCGGCCCCTACCGGCGCCACTGATGCAGTCTTGAAGCCATCCGAGCCCGTGCCTGAGGGTGCGCAAGAGGTGCAGGGCATCGACTTCAACCAGTACGCGTCGCGCAGCATCACTGTCGAGGAGCTGGTGGGCGGCTATGCCAACATGGGCTTTCAGGCGACATCGGTGGGAGAGGCTGTACGCATCATCAACGACATGGTGAGTTGCTTCTGCCCGGAATATCCGAATGCGCGTGCTGCGCCGCTGCGGCGTGTCAGCGTCAAGTGCGGAGACAGCACTTGCGTATGCCGGGAATCTCCCGTCCGTGCGCAGTCCCGAAAGACGAATCATTTAGCCTGATTTGGCGACGCGACACCACCGCATCGAGAAGCTTGGGTTCGCTGCTAACAGATAACAGCGCGCATGGAGAGACCCTGAGACCAAGGAGCCCACGACGATATTCCTTGGGTACACGTCCAATCTGATATCCTCGGGGCTGCGCGAGACGCTGCGGTACCTGGTCCAGCACAAACACGTCTCTGCCATCGTGACGACCGCGGGCGGCGTCGAAGAGGACTTCATCAAATGCCTCGCGCCTACATACCTCGGCGCTTTCTCCACTCCCGGAGCAGGACTGCGCCAAAAGGGCATGAACCGCATCGGCAATCTCGTCGTGCCTAACAGCAACTACTGCGCTTTCGAGGACTGGGTAGTGCCGATCCTGGACAAGATGCTGGAGGAGCAGGAAGCGAGCAAGAAAACGGACGAGCCATTGTACTGGACGCCTAGCAAGGTCATCCACCGTCTGGGTAAGGAAATCAACGACGAGCGATCAGTCTACTACTGGGCGTGGAAGAATGACATCCCCGTCTTCTGCCCAGCGCTGACAGACGGAAGCCTGGGCGACATGCTGTACTTCCACACATTCAAGTCATCACCAGAGCAGCTCCGCGTCGATATTGTAGAGGACATTAGAAGGATAAACACAATCGCCGTGAGAGCGAAGAGGACAGGCATGATTATCCTTGGCGGAGGACTGGTGAAGCATCACATCGCCAATGCGAACCTGATGCGCAACGGAGCCGACAGCGCGGTGTACATCAACACTGCGCAAGAATTCGACGGGAGTGATGCAGGCGCACGGCCAGACGAAGCTGTCAGCTGGGGAAAGATTAAGCTAGACGGAGATAGCGTGAAGGTGTACGCAGAGGCGACGGTTGTGTTTCCGCTCATTGTTGCGGCAACTTTCGCACGGGTCCAAAGGTCGCAAGGGCAATAACAACAGGCGCTATACGCCATGCAGCACTCCAATAGCTCGTGCAATAAAGACCATGTTGTTGATTGACCGGAATAAGTGGGCTGGCATGTAAGGACGACTGCTGTATGGAGCAACGTTGTTGGTGCGGAGAGCGGACGCAGGGAAGGCGCGGACGGGCCCACCTTCCCCACTAGTCTCAAAGCTCTAGCGTGACTGCCTAGCCGGTCACTGTGGAGGTTAATCGATAAGGAAGCTGAGAGCTCCGTGATGACGACGAATGCGCCTTGTCCGCGCAGCCTTGTGCGATGAGTCAACCTCTGAAGCGCGTCGTCGGAGAGGCTGTAAAGGGCGCAGAGCCTCCAGGTTGAAGGCGCTGACGCCAAAGCTCCTTCGATCCGGGATAGCGCAGCGCGTGGGCCAGCCGATTCCCAGGTAGCTTTACCGCCTCACTCTGTACCTCTGTTGGCAATCGTGCCGCATGCTGGTAGGCTGCAGCCTTGTCAAGCTCCAGCCACGCCCAGGTTATCTTTCCTTCTTCTCCAACTCCAATTTCTACAGTCTCGAGCCATATCTCCAGAAGCACACGTCGGTTGCTCGTTGTATCCATACACCCTCGTCGACGCGATAACGCTACTAGCTTGCTGCACTCACCGATAAAAGCAACACACCACTGTCGTGCAGCCTCGTGCATATCCTCTCTCACTCATCTCTCCATTTGTACTTTTACCCAGCTTTACCTGCACTCCCGCCCGTCAAACGCCCGCTCTCCACTTTCACATGCGCCTCTACCGCTGCAGCAAACATGAGCGTCAGCGTAGAGCCACCACTGCACTTTAGCCAGCAGCTCTCCAGCCCGCCACACTCACCAAACCCCGTACTCCATGCGCAGACGCCAGCTTCACCTCCACCGCCGCCGCCACCGCCTGCAGCCG